GTTGCCTTACACCTTAGCTTGGGGTATTGATGGAGTGCCATTTAGTTAGTTAATAGTGCTGTTCATAGAGCAGCAATATTAACGTATCCAGCGGTGCCACGAGGAGGCAGACACTCGATGATTGCATTTCTCCATTGGCATGCAGAAAAAATTACCTACAAGCGGACAAGCAAACAAGCAAGCAAACAAGCAAGCAATCTAAGCTACAAAGCAATGGCTAAACTACAACCAACACCTGACCTTGTCTTTGAAGAGTTTATGGGTGCATATGGAGGTACTGGAAAATCCAGATATGGAGTTACGACCGAGCAACAACAAGATCTGCTCTCGCTTTCGAAAGACTACTCGTTGGTTCATAGTACTTCCGCCAGCATCAACGAAGTTTGGTCGACTGGTAAAACTTCAATATCAGTTACCAGCCCCTGGAAAAGCCTTGAAACTTCAAGACGAGTCGCGTTATCTTTTTTATTTAATAACAAAGAACACCTTCCGAGATCTATCCACCTATCAGGATGTATGGGAAGCATTACTTAGTCTAAGGGAGCACGTGCGGGAGTCCAATGTACAGAAACTAGCCATGCCGAAGATAGAAGGAAATCAGCTGGATTGGAGGATCATTAGGAACATGGTGGAAGTAATTTTTCAAGATACCGGAGTCCAAATACTGGTCTGCAGCCATTCGCCCAGTGCCCAGGTTACAGCGAAGACAGTCCCTTGTTACTTCCATGCAACTGGAAATTGTACAAGAGGGTTCAGTTGCAGATACAACCATTCCATTTTATTTTCGTAAGTGTTCCAGGAGGAACTATCTCTTAAGGAGGGGGCAATGTAATGTGAGCTATTTCATTATTCAGTCATGCTCTAATACTCCAAGTCCCTCTCTGTATTATTTGGTCTTTGAGACTCAACTTGTCCGAATATCATATATAATTAAACCCCTAAAACCAAACCTATGTGACGACTATGGCGGAAGAGTTTTCGATTAATGTTCGAGAAAAGACGCGATAATGTTTCTAGAGAATTTGGTGAACTTTCTAGCTCATTCGCCAAACTTTTAAATTTGTATATAATTATTGGTGGAACGATATGGACAGTGAAGATAAATAGTAATTAGTAGATAGACAGTGGTGAATATAAATAGTGATCAGTTTAAAGACATTCGAAGTATACAGGGTGAGTCGGGAGGAGCGCACCAAACTACATTATACACGTGAAAATAATGTAAAAAAACTCCTATGTTCTTATCCGATTTTCATTTGTTTTCAAGTTATAGCATATTAACAAATAAACAAATTTACACATAAAAATTCTCTTAATCGTAGCGTTCTTTCAATAAATGTTCAAAAATACCGCCATTGACTCCTAAACATTTTTTGCTTCGTCTACGAAGAGCGTTTGTTGCTCTTCTAATTGATTCATTTCGTTCAGTTACTGTTCACTGTACAGTGACAGTTTATCAAAACGTCAGAATTATCAAATGCCTTTGAGCCTTGAACATATGTTAATGGTAATGTTAAAATTTAGAAGTGGAAAGCTAGATGAACATTTTTAATTACGCCATAACTTGAAAACAAATTAAAATCGGATAAGAACATATGAGTTTTTTTACATTATTTTCACGTGTATAATATACTCCTAGAGTTTGGTTCGCTCCTCCCGACTCACCCTGTATATAAATTAGAATAGTTGTGTTATAAAATAAATAAGTGTTTAAATAAATTATTAATAAATAAACTGTTGTTTTAAAGTAAACAAACATCACAATACTTATTGCAATGCAAAAAGTTATAAAAACTTAGTTCACATAATTAGTATACTAATCTGTCTTAATTTCAATATGCTGGAAAATCACAACGAGCGTCTTATTTCGTTTCGTGACGTAAATATTGAAATAAACCAGAGTCACTCGCCACTAATTCTGGATTGCCTACCGGCTGGAGAAGAACCACTAACGTTCCATTTTTATGACCTCGAAGGTGGCGTGGAACAGCGGAAGCATTATCATTTACATTATTTCAACAAACAAAAGTTTTATATAATCGATAAAGAAAACGTGAATAAGAGATTTATTTTGATAAAATTAATGCTAATAATTTGTTGAATAAACCCGCTAAGATATGTACTAAAATTCGTAAAAGTGTTCCTAAAATAATGACTAACATACACATTATGGTGGAACGAATTTTCCATTTCTGGAAATTTAACCACCCTGTATACTTAATACGTGCCTATTGTACTCGTTAGTAAGACAAAAAAAAAAACAACGCCAGAAAACAATAACTTCGGCTACCGAAACCGCCTTAAAATTTCGATAATTAACATATATTTTTTTTAATTTAACGAATTTTCGATTTCTTTAAATTTAATTACCCTGTATACCTAATAGGTGCTTATTGTACTAGTTAGTAAACAAAAAAAAACAACGTCAGAAAACAATATCTTCGGCTGTCGAAACCGCCTTAAAATTTCGATAATTACATATATTTTTTACTTTTCTATCTGTATACAGATATAAGGAAAGTATAGGAATCATGATTTTTTTCGACCTCGAGTTTTCGACGGATTTTTACGTTTTGAGGTCCCCTGAATCCGTTTTGACTATTTTCGCGATGATGTCTGTGTGTGTGTGTGTGTCTGTGTGTGTGTGTGTCTGTGTGTGTGTGTGTGTGTGTGTGTGTGTGTGTGTGTGTCTGTATAACGCATAACTCATGAACCGATACACAGAAAAACACCAAATTTTAAACTTAAGCTTTGTTTCAGCGTCCAATGAGCTGATTAGATTTTGGGCAGTGTCGGAACATCTGGGGGGGTACTTTATGGGTGGTCATTTTTATATTTTATGGAATATATCTGTTATTTACGTTTGGAGAAGAAAATTCTTCAAATAAAAGTTACTTCTAATATAATTATCTATAATTTTTGTTTTATGCAAAATTTTCCTAAAATGGTCCGTATTCGAGAAATTTGACAAAATGTAAAAAACATAATTTTTTATAAAAATTGTTCAAATAAAAGTTGTTTGTAATATAATTCTCTATAATTTTTGTCCTATACATAATTTCTCTAAAATGGACCGTATTCGAGATATTTGAGAAAATGTGTAAATTTCGAAATTTGAAGAAAACTCAAAAACGGATAAAGGAAAAAACATTAAATTTTAAACTTAAGGTTTATTTCGGCCTGACGTGAAATGATTAGATTTTGGACAAAGTCGGAACATCTGGGGGGGTACTTTATGGCGGGCCGTTTTTATATTTTATGGAATATATCTGTTATTTATGTTTGGAGAAGAAAATTGTTCAAATAAAAGTTACTTCTAATATTATTATCTATAATTTTTGCTTTATGTCAAAATTTCCTGAAATGGTCCGTATTCGAGAAATTTGACAAAATGTGCAAAATTCTGATTTTTATGAAAATTGTTGAATTAAAAGTTGTTTGCGATATCGATTTCTATAATTTTTGTTTATACATGATTTTTCTAAAATGGACCGTAATGGAAAAGTGCTAAAATTAAATTTTTCTGTATTTTCGTTTTCAATGAATATCTATAGAAAAATGTTTCGAGGTATATGTATGTGTAAAATGTATATATCCTCTAAACATTTATAGAGATGCTGCAATAGGTTGTACAAAATAACCGGAAAATGCCTATAATAACTAGATAGGAAAGTCATGTGTTGGACACATCAGATTTTTTAATTTAACGATTTATAATTTCTTTAGATTTAACCACCCTGTATTCCTAAGAAATGCTCTCTTAAATAATAAGCCAAAAAACTAACAATTAAAAACGATATATTTGGCTGACAAACAACGTAAGTACGCCGCATGTCCCATTTTTGGTGTGTTAACTAAATTTAAAGACAATGTTTTAATTAACGAAAATAAACAAGAACCCAGTATAAGTGCAGTTTCAAAGCAGCTAGTTGAATAATAGAAACCTATATGGGAGAAGAGCTCTAATTCCGTAATCTCTGATCAGCAAATTTGAAGTCGTATAGCACAATATCATGGTAAATACAAAACAATTAAGAAAAGCCTTAAATCAAAATATAAAAACAACTATAGCAAACAAGTTAAAGCGTATAAAGAAGACGCAGAAAAAAAGCTTCTTAATATTGCGATTTGCATGTGTAAAAGTTTCTCGACTTGCACTTGTAAAACTAAGATACCGGTAGCCGAAAAATAATTCATTGTAGATTAAATAACAAACCAGAAAATGATAATCGGCAACGTAGATCTCGAAACAACAAAAAGAAATGAAAAAGAAATTGAAAGAAATTTTAAGGCATTAGCCAGACAGTCAACTTTCAGCAAACTCGTTTTCAGAAGATAAACCAAAAGAAAGAAAGCCAAAAATAAAGCAACAACGTGAAGGTGATCAAAAAGAACAAGAGACTTTTCCGTCAACTTCTAAGGCAATCGGCCCTTTGGTACCGGCCTCTCAGGCGAATTGTCAAACCAAATCATCATCCTCTGCTCAAATGCTACTCCGTATACCAACATTGGCAGAAGCTTGCGACCACACATGAGTTTCTGACCGATCAGCGGCAATTGTAGCAAGTGCCATGCTAAAAGACGTTGGTATTGTATCACACACTGATTCTTCAAAAATTGTAGATCGTAGTAAAATAAAGAGGGCTAGAAGTAAAAGTCGCACAAACCTGAAAAGAAAATTTGGTGACGATGCTTGTGAAGTTAAGGCAATATATTTTGACAAGCGCAGAGATAAGACGTTAATTTAAGAGAAAATGGGAGACAAGTCTAATAAAAAAAAAACAGTTGTTGAATAATATTATGTTCTAGTTTTTGAACCAGGATCGAGAAATTTTGGACATGTCCAACATCTGGAAATGCCAAAGCAATAAAAACATCAATAATCAGCTTTCTACAAAAAAATATTGATTTAATAAACTTGTGGCCATTATTGTGATGGAACCGTGGTAAATACCGGTTTTGAAAACGGTTTGATTCGAGCTGTTGAATTGGATTTAAAAATGCCATTGCAATGGATGATTTGTTTATTACACACTAACGAATTGCTGCTTCGCCACTTAATGAACTATTTAAACGGAAAAACTACTGAGCCCAAAGGTTTTTCGGGAGACATTGGTAAGACCTTTAAATCGTGTGAACATTTACCAGTCGTACAGTTTGAGAATATTAAGACAATTTTATCTTTAGTTGATATAACAGCCTTAAGTACCGATGCTAAGTATATGTACGAGATGTGGCAAGGAATCTCCACTGGAGTTTTAAAAGGCGATTTGGCTCTAAAAGCAGCAGGGAAAATGTCACACTCTAGATGGCTTACCACAGCCAATAGAGTCCTAAGGTTATACGTTGTTAACAATGAGCCCTTTCAAAACGTTAAAATGTTAACAAAGTTTATAGTAAAAGTGTATGCCATGTGCTGGTTCGAAATTAAATGCCAGTGGTCTTGTAAGGATGGTGCCAGGCATTTGTTTAGAATTATTGGTAAATCTCGTTACCTCCCTGAAGAAATAACAAAAGTTATTGATCCCGTAATTGAAAGAAACGGATTTTTTGGTCACCCAGAAAATCTTTTAATAGCCATATTATGGGATAATAGAAAACATATGCGAGAGTTAGCTTTAAGAAGGATTTTAAAATACAGATCAACCGCAGAAATCGAGGATGTCAGAATATTTCGAGTAAATAAGTCAAGATTATGTGGACTTAATTGACTGAAAAAATCTTATTATAATTGAGCCCCGTTAGTAATGAAAATTTAAAACGAAGAATTAGCTAACATGATTTCTTTGGTTCCTGATAAAATAGTAATATTAAAATTACCTTGTCATTCGCAGGCTGTTGAGCGATCTGTTAAGTTAGTCACCGAAGCTTCTATAGCGGTTTATTGCCCTGAAGCACGAGACGAGTTTATTAGAGATTGAATCTAGACAAATATTGCCCCAATTTGATGCAAAAAACAATTTTTAGCAGTTCTAAAACTGAAAAACTAGATTTTTTTTTATTTTAAGGGTGGAAGGATAGGGTGAAACTCGGGATGCATCCACCTCTATGAGGTAAGTTCTGAATATTTTTTTTAAGAAAAACTAGCTGAGAGCTGCATGTTTGCTTTCTTGCAGTTTCAAAGATTTTTTAAATTTTCAAGGTCATTTCGGCAGCAGATGGACTCGTCATAAGTCATTTTTTTTGGGTAAATAAGAATTTCGAAAGGCATCTGCACACCTAGGCATATTTGTTTTCAAAAATTATTTATTTCGGTCAAGTTTTCGCTCCACCCTAATAACTGTTGCATAAAATTAATATTTAGAATAACTTAAGTTAAAATAAGCAGAAGGCAGTCATAAAAAATAACCAGATATAAAAAAAACTAGTCATAGGAACAAAGATTAACTTGTGAAAATAAACGCGTCATTATTATTGTTTTAACATGTCAAAATTAGACTTGATTTGACCGATTAATTATCTCTCTACGGGGAGTTTTGTAAAAATGGCAATTTTTGTATATTTTATTAATATGTACTTTACTATTCTCCCTGTATGTGATATCCTAAGTATACATTTTTGTTGATGTGATGTTGTACTTGGGATCCATTACGATATTGTAAAATAGCGACTGAACCAACTTTTTGGCTCATCCGATATATATTTTTATGGTAATGTATGATTTAAAATAAATAAAATAAATTGATAAGTTACATGTAAACTGTATAACTTTAGACAGAACTTACTTTGTTCCTAGAGTATGAGACGCTATCATCTCACGGTAGGGTTCAGACGGTATCTTGTAGATTTAATTAGAATAATTTTTATTTATTATTATATTCCACGCCTTCTGAATGATCATATGAAGTACTCCCGTTTTCTCGCTCTGTGGCCACGTATTTTAGAGTCTAAATACTCTCAAGTATTTAGAAAGTTCTAAAATAGCAACTGGCCGTGCCAGTCCTTCCCACCTCTGCTCCCGTCCCGTGGTACTCAGATACATTCCTACGTCATTTTTTCTTTTCGTGCGCTTGTGGTTATACGTAAATAATTTACTTTCATTATTAGTCATCAACAACACGATATTTTCATTAAAATAATCTATTTCCAAAACTAAACACAAAACAAGTAAATTCGACATTCCGTTGAGGCTACCGAACTATAATTGTCCCCTTATTTTTCAGGTTAGAGTAACCTATGAACTTAATACATAATTCTAATATAACAAATATCTTTTATGGCTAATAACTAAGACACTTTAATGCCTTCGCCTTCACTCCAATAAGAGGCAGGTACCTGCTTCGGTCCATATACTTCGACTAAATACCATCGATCCATCGCTATCGAATTTGAAATTTTTTACACGGCCAACTTGACCATTAATTCGTTCTCAAAATAATTCAGAAACCATTAAACTGCAAAAAAAAAGAAAAACTAAAACAGAAGCTCTTCGACATGTTCAAAAAAAAAAAAACAAAATTAGTAAAAAGTTTCTGTGGACAGTAAATCTATTCGGTGCTAAAGTAACAAACAAATTTAAGATGGTGAGCGTAGCGGTGTTTTTATCCTTTATCATTTCAGTGTGGCTTGCCACAAAATAATAATATATTACGTATGGAGTTATAATTACGTAGCTTCCCAACAAACCAATTTTGTATGTTTGTAAAGCAAAACTTATGAAAGCATTTTTATTATATCGAAGATTTTGTAGCTTTCTCACCATAAATAAACTATAATCATAGAATTGGCTTTCAACAAATCCCTATTACAAAGCACATCGTTTTTTTTTTGTCAATCGTAGATAGTTTTTTTGTTTTACATTTATTGGAATGTTTAAATTAATAATGTAGTAGAATCTTCCAACAAATTATACGGACGTACGCAAATTTCGATGCGTAGTAAACTTGTTTATAAAATTCGCATTTGTCATAAATCCCCTGCTATAGACTAAGGCCTACCTTTTGGTATAAATACCACAATTTTATTCATAGTTTCTTAAATGTTACAAACTACTAAAGTTTAAAACTGTCCCAACTATTTGAATTTAACTGTACCCTGTTTCTTTCTAACAAAAAATATAATAATAAAAATCGGAAAACGTGTTAAAAAATTATCATTAAACATACACACAACCAAACTTAGATGGAATCATCTATTACTTTTCTTAATTTTTAAAATGTATGAACATTTTTTGTTTATGAATAAAATTCAGTCCTTACCAAAGACTTTTAATGACAAATAACCCACATAGCAATAAAAATAATTAATTAGTTGACAAAATAAACACAATGGTATTTTTTTGGTTTCTGAAACGAAATGAGATTTAAATTTTTAATAGCCGAAAAGCAACAACAGAAAGAAAATTGGTAATTTTAACAATCCGTGTTATCACCTCTAACCCTTATGCAAGCTTCTATTCGCCTTGGCATGCTTCTTATTAAATTGTCAACATTGTCTTGGGGTATGTTTTCCCATTCTGCTAATGCTGCATCAATAAGCTGTGCGACATTTCCTGCATTATTTGGTCGAGCTCTAATCCTTCTTTTAAGCTGGTCCCACAAGTGTTTGATAGGATTTAGGTCTGGTGAACATGCAGGGCAGTCTAAAACTGTGACAACTTCTGTTTCAAGATATCCTGTAGCCAATCTGCTGGTATGGGGAGGTGCATTATCATGCATAAAGATAAAAGTATCTCAATTGCAGCTCTCCAAAGCCTTACGATTGGTTCTAGCACTAAATCAACATATCTCGGACCGGTTAAAGTTTGTTGATGTGGTAACAATGGAGTTTTTGCTTCCAGCATAATACCTGCCCAAAACATTACAGTTTCTCTTTGATATCTTGGGACATATCTGGCAGCGTGGAGTCTCACTCATCTTCCTGAAGCTCTAAGAACCCGAAATCGATGGTCATCTGATCTTAGGCCAATTCTGGTCTCATCCAAAAATGGAACATTTTGTCAATTCTCAATTCTCCAGTTTTGGTGTTGGAGGCACCAATTTAGCCGGTCAATTTTATTTTGCCTGGATACCGGTGGGACCCATAACTCTTTCCTACTGTACAAACCTCGTGCGCGAAGTCTTTCTCTTAGAGTTTCACTTGAAACATTCACATCTGTAGCTTCCAGAAGTTGTCGTTGTAACTCTAGATGAGAAAATCTGGGATTTCGTCAAGTAAATTGGCACACAAAGCGGTCCTGTTGTTCAGTTGTGACTCTTTGACTACTTTGCATGGGCCTGTTGTTAAGAGTTTCTAGTTCCAAGTACCTTTCATATGTTTTTAATACAACACCCTGGGTATCGCTTACTACCTCTGCTACCTCTCATTGGGGCATTCCTTGTTCAATGAGAGCAATAATTCTCCCCCTTCTGCATATCTGTTAGTCCAATATAAAGCATTTTGTTGTTTTTTTGGACCGAAATAAAATTACCGGAGAATCGTGATTTTACTTCTGAACACAAAATTCACAAGATAATAAATCTCAGCAGTTGTTTCTTCTTTATTATCATGTTTCTTAAGAACAAAAGGCCTTATCTTAAAGTTAGTTACCAAATGTTTTCCTTACAAAACGTTTATTCAGAAAGACACAGTAATTCTATATAAGTTTGGTTGTGTGTGTATAAAAAAATAATCTGACGAATTGAAGTCGGTTAAAAATAAATGAAACCGGAATTATGGTTTTTTAAAGGAAAAACCGTTTTTTAAAAAAACTTTTTAATTCCAAACTACAACTCTAACGTATGAAGAATATCTGAAGAATTATTGAAATAAACAACTTACATATATTTATAACATTTTAAATGCTGACTAAGCTAGAGATAAAATAATATTTACTATACTAATTCTATACATATAACTCCTCCTTTCCTAAGCTGAGAAGATCAGGGACTGATTCTTCGAAGTTTCTGGATTATCTTCTTTTCTTCTTACTTCTAATTCTATTTCTTTATTTTCTTCATTTATAGATTTTCTTTCTTCTTTTCGATGAGGACATATCTTCAATTGTAGTATTTCTTTTCTTCTTTTCCATATTAAATAAATGATAAGGCATAAGATTATAATTATAATAATTGATATTGATTTAGTTTTATAAGGATTGTCTATTACTTCTTCTACTGGTTTTAAACTTTTAGCAATTTTACTTATTTCGTATAAATTTTCAAAATTGACTTTAGTTATATTAGCTTTTTGAAATTGAAATGGTGTCTTCATATCTTCTATTTCGAATTTTGGTAAAATCAGAGGCGTTCCTTCTTGGATTTGGACGTCGTTAATGTAATTTTCTTCATTAATTTCTATATTACACTTTTTTGGAATTTTAATTAAGACTGGTTTTTCAATTTTTTAAATATTGATTGGATTCGCACGTTGAAAGTATTTTTTCAGGCTTTGAGGGCATAAATAGGACTTCGTCTCTTGTGATTTGTTGACTGATTGATTCTTTAATGCTTACATCTAAAAATTGGCAATTATTTGGATTATTTCCATCTAATAGTTGAAGGGTGCAATCATCTTTAGTAATATAATTTTCTTGACAATAGTATACTTTTTCTACTGTTGGACATTCATCTTTTTCAAATTGAACTTCAGTTTTCTTCCGTGCCAAATAACGGTAATTGGGGATAAACATTTTGTCATTTTGGATAATAGGATAAAGGTGATAAAATTCATAGGAAACAGGTTTTAAAATAGGAATATGAATAGCAAATATTAGTTTTGTTTTAGTAAATGTTACTTGTGTACCTAGAATTTGATAATATGAAAGAATATTTTGAAATTTGAGAATTTCATTTTCTTTATATAATTTCGATAAATATTGTAATAAATCTAAAATTTCTTCAATAGAAATTATTGAATTATGTAGTGTATTTAACTTTGAAAATGATATTGCATTTTCTAAATTATCAAGTAAAGTTATTATAGTTTGACAATCTAAATTAAT